ACACACATGCCATGCAAGAATTAATTAAATATATTTAATTTAATATCTTGAATAAGCATATATTCAACTATGCTATTTCAATGTTTTAGGCCGTATCAATCGAATGGTACTGGCTATATATGGTCAAACTTGCTAGAAACTTTATAGTTATCTCTTCTGACATTATAAAACCTTTAATTTAATTTTTGAAGATATTTTCTTCTCTTATGGACATGATTTTTATAAATTCATTGACCCATTAATCCATATTCAAAATCATATAAATAATCAACTTAATTTAGCTATTTTGTGGGAAGTAAACTTTGGTATCATTTATGTATTTTTATTAAGTAGTTTAATTGGAGATCTAGATACGTTTAATTCGGGTGTTGAATGGGTTCATCTAATGATAAACATTAGTTGACTGAGCAATAATCCAAGTAATATACAACTCAAGATGATTCATTTCTTTTAATTAACCTTCTAAACTACTTTCACATTGAGTTAATTAATTAACACATAAGTTACAAATGGTAAATTTTGAATTCAGGATATCCTACAATACTAATAATATAATTAATATTACAAATTTGGTTAATTTCACTCTCGAGATCCAAGTCTCATGTGTTCTAGTAATTTTCAGAAACTATTTAATATCTTTATAAAATTACCAATAACTTTTAAAATATATATAAAAAAAACTTGAGTAATGCTAGGTCCATAACTCAATCTCACAATCTCCAATGTGATAGCTCGTCTCGCAAAATGGGTCTCACCTGCTTGTGTGGATCCTGCCTACCTGTTTGCGAGCTAACAAAAGATAAACTATTATGTCAGGGTTGTGAGAAAAAGTTGTGGACCTAGCATTATTGAATAAACTTATGAAAAATATCAAAACACCAGGTAAAGGTGTATTTAATAATTTTAAAAGGCTTAAAAATTAACAATTTCTAATGGGAAAGATGTGATTAACCCTTAAAAATTACACTAATACTACACTCATAACTTTTTTATACAAATTTTCTCTCACAAACTTATGTGACAAAAGATGATTGAGTGATTTTATATTTAAAATAAACTTTTACTCAATCATCTTTTATCATATAAGTTTGTGGAAGAAAACTTATACGAAAAGGTTGTGGGTATAATATTAGTCTAATTGAATCTATATATTGGTATCATTTATATTAATAGAAAAAATGATTATTTATAGATGAGAAAATTAATAGGATGGAAAAGATGGGCCAGCCTAACAGGACAATTTCTGTTGTACGTCGACTAGCCATGCTAGTTGGTGCAAGCCAAAAGCACTTTTCCTTGTGCTTATCCTTTTCAACAAAAGTTGTCCCACAAGCGCTTAATTTCACATGATAAATAGGTAAAAAAAAAAAGTACTTAAACAAACATAGCTTAATGGGAATCTTGAAAGCTGATATGTACGTTTGGTTTGTCACAACTCAATTCTTCATTTTCTATTTTCCATCTACGCCAAACACAGACTTTGTCTCGACCCCAACCAAACTCATTAACGTTCCCACTTCAATTCACCTGTCCTTAATCATGAATCCATATCTTCAGTAAAAGGAATCTACAATAATTTCCACTGATTCACACCTCACCAAATCCCGTATATAAACAATTCCAACCTTTATCATAATCTTTATAATATTAACACAAGAAAATTTAACATGGGGAACACCATAGGAGGAAGAAAGAAAGCCAAGGTGATGAAAGTTGATGGAGAAACGTTCAAGTTAAAGACTCCAGTTCAAGTTTCCGATGTCGTTAAAGACTACCCAGGTCACGTTTTGTTAGATTCAGAAGCTGTGAAACACTATGGCATTCGGGCGAAGCCGTTGGAGCCTCAACAGATTCTGAAGGCCAAGAAAATTTATTTCTTGGTGGAGTTACCCAAGTTTATTCCTGAAGAGAAAAATAAAATGCCCACTAGAAGGGTTCAATCGGGGATTCACATGGGCGCAAAGGACCGGCTTGAGTTACTGATGTTGTCAAGGCGGGCAGTTTCTGATCTTTCTGCAGTTAAACCCTCGACGAGCCGTGGATCTGATGGGCAAGTGCCGGAACTTAATGATGGGCGCATGAGGGTCAAAATGAGGCTGCCCAAATCCCAAGTGGCTAAATTGATGGATGAGAGTAAGGATGAAGCGGAGGCGGCTGAGAAGCTTGTCGATCTTTATGTTGGAAAAGCCGGCGGTGCGCCGCTACCGGGAGAGGAGTGGAAACCGAGACTTGGTAGCGTCAGAGAGAATCATAAGGCACGTGAGGTATGTTTACTAAATTTGGTTTTGTTAATAATCTTTGAAATTGTCTCAGTTCTCATTTTGATTATGTCAATGATTAATTTCATTATAGGAATTTGGTTTGTGAATTAAGAGGAGATGATACCTCCATTTGCATTATAAAATCAAGTGTTTACTTATTCATGCATACAAAAATGAATAATAAATTTGTGGCAGAATAATGGTTGTATTTGGGTGTAGTATTACTCTTGGAGAAAGAGTAATACTATACCTACAACCTCTTCTTTTCAACCCTTTTACTTAACAACTCATAATTAGTTAGTCGTGATTTATTAAGTGGGATTGAGGTTAGACTTATTACGAATTGATCAATTGTAAACTGTCATATCGAGATTGTGAGAAAAAATTTGTGATAAAAAGTTATAAATGTAGTATTTCTCTTGGAGAAATGCAGAAATGCAGTGAGTCAATAGTAATTTTTCGTTAAAAGTAAGATTTAATTGGGATTAGTCATAGTGATTGTGATTAGCCTTGTATTCATGCAATGAATAAGACAGAATGAATTAAATTAAAGCATTATTAAAGAAATGGGTGCACTGTCTTGTCGGGCCGGTCGTTATTGATACTGTCGTTAATTACAAATTGGGAATGGCTGGCCAAGTCTAGAATTTGACCATAGGAAGATGAATGAGTTTTATGATGTTGATTTAGCCATGGCTGAAATTATCAGGTTCATTTTCACCCTGAGTCCACATGCTGCTGAGTAACAAGGGACATAAGCCACATGATTTTTGGTGGGCCAGTTTAGTCAAAAAAATCTCATCCTTTTATAACTATTAACTTGTCGGCTTGTAACAACCCATTACGTGAATACCACATCAATTAACCTTTTAGGGGCTATTTCCTCCCTTTCTTTTCTTTCTTTTTTTAACCTTTTTTTTTTTTAAATTATCTGCCATTCTTTCTTTTTCTTATCTGACGCTATTTTTCTTTAGCTTTTTAAAAACTTTTCTTCGTTTAGCGGACAACAAGATATGGGTTGATTGACTGCCACCCCACCGAGATTTGGTTTAAAAACTTTTCCCTCTCTAATTTTGGATCCTAAGTTAACGTAAAACCATTTTACATTCAAAATTCATAACAGTTTAACCAAACTTCTAGTTACTTTTTCAAAATTTTAACTGTTTAACTAAACGTGTCAATGATTTTAAAAAAGAAAATCTCATTTATACCCCTTAAATCGTTACATTTAACTATTAAAACGTTAGTTGAAATTGAAGGTAGTTATACGGATTAAGTAGACTTCAATGTGAATATGGATACTTTGAAAAAAAAAAAATATTGGTCCTCTAAAATTGGGGTGAGAGGGGACTTTTTATGCCAAACCTCTTTGGTAAAAAATCCACGAAATATCAACGGGTCGATTCAGAAAGAACAACTGGTCGTAAAGCCGACGTCGTTCCTTACATCATCATCAGCCCTTAAGAAAGGAGCCTAACTTGACTTTTAACTTTTGTATGCAGCCTTAGGCATTTCTAGGGAACAAGAAATTCCCAAAGTCAAATTTGGATGCCGAACAATAGTTAGGCTGGCCTATAAGGACACAAGCCTATTTATGTGCAAAAAGTTCATTTAATGTTTAGTTTGGAAAATTTTAAAAAGAAAAAGGAGTCTTTTAATTTAACCTGTTTCGTTGTTTTGGTTTAAATTGAAGCCTTTATTTTTATTTCTGAAATTGTTAATAATTAATCTAAACCTTGTTTTGTGCATATGTTTAGATTTTAAATTGTATACTAATCTCTTTTTTATAAATCATTCTATTTTGCAGAAACACGTAAGTTTTTTTCCCGCAGAAGAAATTCAACTAGATGTTACATCTCGGTAGTGATCCATGGACTTAATTCCAGTATCAAGTGCAAAAAGCAGAGCATCAAGTTTCATGTTTCAGTGTCTTTGTAAATTTGTCTTAGATATCATTTTTAGCTCTTAGGAAATTATTTAAGTATTAGAAAGCCAACAATTTTTGTCACATTTCTGTGTCTCTCTCCATATCCTATACAGTTAAATCATGTATCTATGGTAGCAAGCAAAATTGCAGACGCACCATCAAAATGGCAGAACAATATTTGTTACAAGCTTTAAAAAAATTTATCTGGTGAAGAGGGCGTATCATATATACGTATGCCCAATATTGCTATCAATATGTAAGTTCATATATTTCTTTCAGCCATTCATGCCAAGTTGAGTCTTGATCCAATTGTTTGAAATTTAAAGTGCCTTCATTATCATTGGGGGTCGGATTACAAAATTTTAAACTGTGGAAAATTTAAACCTCACCTAAACTATGAATCTTTGGTTGAATTAATTGTTTATTTTACTTGGATTTCATCATCATATTCTTTCTACTAAGATTTTCAAGCACTGGGGAAGATTAAGAAGATAATAAGAATCAGGGATATGTGTTTAATTTGGGCTAATTCACTAATACAAAACCACAGATATGAACTACCTTTGAGTGATTGAATGGTTCGATAGGACCTTTTAGGTGTATTACTCAAGAAGTCTTAAGTTCAAGTCCCTCTTCGGTTACTAATAGGGATAATCACTGGAGTTCTTATTCAATCAATAGTTTCAGGGTCCTGAGAGATTAGTTGAGATGAGTGTAAGTTGATCTGGATACTCCCAATCATTAAAAAAAAAAAAAAACACGGAATATGTGCTCAATTGACAAATTCCACCATTGAAATATCAATGAAATTATATCATACAAGTGAGCTCTCTGGTTCTAATCAAGTCCTAGTTGCTTTTCACAATTTGATGGATTATTTTCTTTGGTGCGTAATGTCCAACTGATTTTAAATAAAGTTGAGACGGAGATAACAGGGGGAGGTAAATTAAGAGTAGTTGTTATCATTAAGGGTAAGTGGTGAAGAAAAGGTGCTGGCTGATCTACATCATATCAGAATTGTCGCTTAAATGATAAATGCTATGAATGAATGAGAAAGGCATGAAAAGATGGATCACTGAGAAGATGGATTCAGCATTATAAATGGCTAATCTACTTATGCTACTGTGATCATAATTGTGAAAATGAATTCAAATCAAATCCTAGTTTGATTGCATTTGTATCTTTTGTCACATACAGATACAGTGTGTGTATTTTATAAAGGCCTTGACATTATTATTTGAAAAAATGGCATTATGAGTATTGTAAAAGGCTTGAATAATTGATGGGATCTCAGTGGAGACATCTGTTGATTCAAGCAAATTTGTCTGTTTTTCATGTGATGATTAATTAGTGGGTTATTTAGTAGATTATATCATGATTACTAAGTTAGTGAACACAGCACTCTTTCATGACATGATGTGCTCCAAAATCCAGGATTAATTTGATTTTAAAAATTAATATTATATATACTTTATCTATTTGGTGTTCGGACGAGTTTACGCACACCTCAACTGAATCTTTGGGATCTTAGAACTATCGGTTGAATAAAAACTCCAATGGTTACTCCTATTAGTAACCTAAGAGGGATTCGAACTCAGAATTTCTTGAGTAATATACCAAGAGATGTTTTATCTATGTTTGGGTTAGAAAAATATGATATTTTTTTTATCAAAACTTGTTATATGTGTATTATAAGATGATTGATATTATTGACATAGTATTATTCATATAGTTCTTATATGATTAAAAAACTAACATTTTTTTACGTTTTGATGATAAAGTTAGCTTTTTTTTTTTTTTTAATCAAAATCAAGTTATAACAAGCTTTTTAAAGTATGATTTGAACAGTATTAGGATTTGAGAAACTGTTTACAAATTACCCTATAAGAAAAACACCCAATTGTCGCATTGGAATTGCGTCACAACAGGGTGTTTCGGTGCCGGAATAATCGTATTCCGATGACATCTGACATCGGACTGGTGCCGCATACGATGGTCGGAATAGCGTATAATAACGCCAAATTTTAGCCACAATAGGATGAACGTAGATCAACACCGTTCACGCCATAATAGTCCCTCCGTCCAACTCTTGTTTATTTACTAGTCAAAATCCTCTAAGAATAACTTGTTTTCATTCACTAATTGAGATATATATTTTCTCGCTGAAATTTCACCAAATCTTATATTGAAATATCTTGATCTTAGCAAATACACCTAGCCCTCATCATCAAACAAAACCAACACTCAATCTTCATCCCAGATCAGTATTTCACAAAACAAATTGCCAAATTAACAACTAATATTCAAAAGCAACAAGTAAAAAAGCTAAGAAGAAATCAGGTTTAGATCAATTCATTGTAATAATTAAGATAGGTTATACATATTGATAAGGATTGGAGTTCATGTCATGAACGATTTGATTTACCTAAATGTCTGGTATTCGCTTTCACTGTATTATTGATGTGAAATTACTTGTTATTTCCAGGTTCTTTCATTTTTCCTGTAATCTACAGAATTGGTGAATGGTGATTGACTTATAGTTGACTCCAGGAAAATTTTAATCTAAACATTAAAATAAATAAATGGAATTATGGTCAGATTCCCCAATATCTCCATTCTAAATATTTTATTAGAGATTAGAGAAGATAGAACCCATTGAATGAATCGTTATATATTTTCAAAGGAACTCTGTCTTTGAATACTTCTCTGTTTTCATCAGTTTTATTCACAAATTAACTTCACTAACTAGTTAGCTTTAGTGATTCACAGACAAACAAACAAAACAACCACCAAAATAAAGGGAAAAGAAAATGAAAATTAAACAAAATTATTCTTGAAAAGAAGCATCCACCTCCACACAAGAAACATTAAAATTATCCAATAAAACAGTTGATTTACTCAGGTTTTGTTGGATGAGTCAGAGTCGGGTAAAAGATTTCCTTCAGAATCATACAGAATTTTCCCGGAAAACTCAAGAGGACGACACCGTTCTCCCATGATGATCGATCTCTTCCAGACTGCTTCATCTTCATCATCTTCATCTTGCACCTTCCTCCATGAAATCATCTTCACCATCAAATGAGCTTTACTACTAATATTACTATTTAATTTCGAAAGAAGTTTTCTCTCACTTGACACTTTTTCTTCATCCTTCAGTCTTCTTGACGATTTCTTTGTTTTGTGAGAAGCACAAAGAAACGTTACAACCGAAAACACAGAGAAGACTCCGATCAGAACAAACAAAAGGGTTAACAGTGTGGATTGAAACTGAATATTTTGCGTGGAAAGGTTTAGAAATTTCCTTGCCATGGGAAATTCTTATAAAAGAACCGAGCTACCACAAACTGTGAACAAGTTTTAGGCAAGGTTCCAAGGAAGAGAAGAGAAGGATCATCAAATATTATTGGGAGATAAGTAGGTTTAATTGCACCACTATGAATTATAAGAGGATTAGACAAGTCCACTGAGTGAAAAAAAATCTTAATTTACGAAATTTTCAGTTTACCAAAGGCCACTATTTCTANATTTCTTTGTTTTGTGAGAAGCACAAAGAAACGTTACAACCGAAAACACAGAGAAGACTCCGATCAGAACAAACAAAAGGGTTAACAGTGTGGATTGAAACTGAAGATTTTGCGTGGAAAGGTTTAGAAATTTCCTTGCCATGGGAAATTCTTATAAAAGAACCGAGCAAGGTTCCAAGGAAGAGAAGAGAAGGATCATCAAATATTATTGGGAGATAAGTAGGTTTAATTGCACCACTATGAATTATAAGGGGATTAGACAAGTCCACTGAGTGAAAAAAAATCTTAATTTACGAAATTTTCAGTTTACCAAAGGCCACTATTTCTAGTCATAAGTCTTCTCCACTGCTGGTCCACCATCGATGATAACATTAATTTCAACTTGACCAATCTCATTTAATATTAGTGTGATTGGTCAAGTTCGATCAATAGGTAATTTGCAGTATTTTACGCTTCTGAAATGGTATTTTTTAATATAGATATGAATAAAAGTAACGAGAAAAAATAGGATCAATTGACCATGTCTATAAGTTGGTCCTACGTAAAACTAAGAATGTTGATTATAACTTGCGAAATTCTGGACGTATTATAGATGGTTATGTAAAGAATAGATTGATTTCAGAGTAACGACTAACGGGAGTTGACTTGGATGCGTGTCTTTGAAAGGTTTAAAAGCCAATAGTATTTACTGCCTTAAAGTCGTTGATGAAGATGGAATTTTCCTTTGCTTGTTTTGAATACGAAGAAAGAAGCTGGAGAGGCTTCTAAGCAAAGGTCACAAAGTACCTAACACCACTTCAAGTATTTGTTTACTCACACTGTATTTTAAATTAATATTGTACATGGTGCATATATTTGAATACAAATACATCTTGAAATCAAATTAAAATTTCTATCCAAGCTGCAGATGTTTCCATTAATTTTTAATTCAGAAACTTGATTAATTGCTACAGATGATGAACTGGGTCCAAGGCAAGACTGCCTTCCTTCGTTGCACGTATTTCATGACAATTATGTGAATCATATCACGTGTAGCTTTGAATTACAAGCTTAAACTTGAGCAATTGATTTTGTCCATATTATAACTATTAATTACCATTTACCACTATTATTATTTTCATTACATTAAGTGATTAGAAACACAAACCGTGCAGTCACGGGTTGAGCGGTTTAACCGGTTTGACTGATGGGTCAAACCGGTGTCCAAATGTTTGAAATCTAACAAAACCACCTCTAAAAATTATTGTAAGTTCGCATAACCGTCGACATCGGCAAATAGTGCATGTTTCCAACGATGAAACACTCTCCATCACCACAAAAACACTCCCCTCAACCTCCTGACCAAAACCTATCTCACCCCTCCCCTGTTTGCCTCCCCCATCGCGATTTCTGATCGATTCACTCATTGGAAATCGATGTTATTGCCATCATTCCACTCACCAGCAATTTCTCTTCAAAAGCCCTAACATTCAAACATTTAATTGTTCACAGATTGATGTCTTAATTTTTAGAGTTTTAAATGAATATGAAAATTTATAACCTGACCCGGTGAAGGTGACAGGCGGGTCATGGTTGAATCGGTTTAACCGGCCGGGTCGGGTTCCTAATCACATGTAATATATTTAGAAACTACCCTCTTTTCAAAGACAGGGAATATAAGTAAGGTCTATTTTTTTTCTTTTTAAATTAATTATCATTTACTACAATTATTATTTTCGTTACATGAACTTAAGCAAAGCAAGAAGTAAATTAAAGTTACATTATTTTATAGCACGGTAGAACATCAAATAGGAATCTTATTGGTGACTTTAGGGTAAACAACGGTGACAGGATGAGCCATAATACGACGACCTTTCGCGTGCTTGAAGCAATAAACTAAAGCCCCCACCGGCCATTCAAAGATTGCCGCCACTGCGAATGCCAGGAACCCTAGCGTCGGCCCAACCACCTTGCACCGGCACGGGTTGCTAGTCGTGCCACACTGAACACAAAGTGGAACTCCAATTCCACCAGCCATAACGTTAATCGTTAACGTTCTTGCAACAACTTCAGAAGTAGAACCAACAAAAAAAAAGAAAACAAAAAAAAAAAAAAAAAAAAAAAAAAAAAATGGATTAAAAAGACAGAAAATGCTATTGATTGGAGCTTGGAGGTGAAGATGACGAAGTTGATAAGTTTGATGGTAAAGTTTGGCCGGTGAATTGAGTTTTATAGAGATACTGAAGCAATTTAATAATTCTCTGGCTGTGAGGTGTAGATGCTACGTGTCAGTATAAGTACATGTAATTTGTACACGTGTCAATGTGCTGTCGGAGCCGTGTACACGTATTTTTGGATATGGGGAATAAAATATAAAATTGTAGTTTTATAAAGTGTTTTTAACACGTGGAAGCAACTGAGAAATTCTGTGCGGCCTATATCAACCGATGAGAACATGTGACTTTCAAATTTTGTTTTGTGTTGTTTTTCTGTCGGCGATTTGATAAATTGGTGTTTTAGAGCATATCCAATGTAGATATTTATTTTATATAGCACCATTCTTTATTAATTTTTAAATATAAAAAATAAAATATGTATTCAAATCTAATAAACTTTTTAAATTTTAGAAGAAAAAATACTTTTTTGAAAAAGAAATTTAATAGGAGAGGGAAATCATAAATAAAATACATAGAAATTTATAATTTATTATTAAAATTATGATAGAGAGTGAAATTTGACTTTTTAAATGTGGTATGTCAAATTCATTTTTTAATCTGTATTTAAAAAATAAAGAGTCTATTAGATTTTTGATTTTATAAATAAACTCTTTATAATAAAGAATTTAGTTTATATAAATTTTTTTTAAAGATGCTTTAACTTTACTTTATGTGATGAGAATAATACTACACAAACATCATTTTTATACAATATTTCTCATACAATATTATTTGACAAGATATGATTGGGTGAAAGTTTAATTTTAACTTTAAATTAGCCAATCATATCTTATCACATAATATTGTATGTGAAATGTTGTATAAAAATGATGTATGTGTAGTATTACTCATGTGATAAACTGAAACAGAGTGAAATTGGAAGACGTTGGCCTGCCAAGCTTAACTATTTAGCCCAATTACATTCCTCAATTTGAACCCAACCCAACCGAACCCAGGTTGGTTGCATACTTTCTAGCTTGGTTGTAAATAATTTCAATGCACAATAATGGATGTTCATAAAAATCAAAATATAAAGAAAAAAAAAATAATAATAATAATGATCTTAACATAAATTCTGACTATTGTAACATAAATTCCAATATAAATAATGAGCTTGAACGGAAGATTAATGAAGGAAGTGAGGTGGGAGAGTGGGACAGTGTGGAATGGTGATGCTTCTCTATCGTTCATCAATGTGCTTTCCATTACTATTATTAATTTCCTAACTTTTTGTCCTCTCTTTCTTTCATTTCTTCCTTCAATCATAAACCCTAAACCGTAAAGGTTGATAACCTTTGAATGATTTCCCAAATGGTGGAATTTGATCATTTTATTTGTGGATGATATATAGCAATTTTGCATTCAAAGAAGCAAAGACCCCATGGAAATAAAATTGGCGTGCGGTTGGGTATTCCTTCAGCTGAAAGAGAGGACCATATTCTTCCAAGAAAAGAAGAAATTAAAAAAGGTTGTTTGATCTTTTTGTGTGATCATCTTTTTGCCAGGGTATACGATTCCCTTCAATTTTACCAAAGTGTTTTCGTTGTTCAAGATCATCTGCTGCCCAAATATTCTTCCCATAATTACTCCATTCACGTTTAACCATTACAAAACTTCAGTTACAATATTAGCTTGACAAATACAAGAGATTAATTCTACATTTTACATATGAATGATGATGCCAAGTTTTGTTTAAAAGGAAAATGAAGCTTGCTTCTCAATTGTATCGTAAAGCACTTTTCAATATTTATCAGCATAAAATGGAAACAGAAGAGAATAAAATTATACTCAGATATAAAGCAGCAAATGAAATGCAAGAGTTCTGATATATAATTGACAGACAAATCACAAGAAGATATAGTTCCAGGGTTGCACTTTTTGTAAAGTATGCAAAGCATTTTCTTGTTGGGAAACACAAAGTTAATCTTCTTATCTTCCGGGATAAGTTACAGCTTTTCTTAATTAAACAATGCCACCATATAATAAAATGGTCATCTATTATGCTTTTATTCTCCAACTTTGATCCAATTTCTTTTATTTGTTTTTGTTAACTTTATTATTATTTAATATCTTTCTTTTTCTTTTTCTATTTAACCTATATTAATTTATTGATTATATATTTATAAATTCACGTATAATATTCGTTTCTCCAATTAATTCAGTCAAAATTAATATTAATTTAAGAGCTTTGGACCATGCCTTAACTTGTTGAAACAACAGAGAGGAAAGCTAATCATTGCCAAAATATATTATTAATGAACTTAATTAATTAAATAACTGCTCAAATTATGGGAATTGGCTTTAAATTTTTCTTTTTGTTTTATATGCAATATCGACCTCAATTTTTATCCATGGTGTAGTGTGAGTTGGCTTTAATCTTTTTCTTCTTTCCATTTTTTCTTTTAAACAGCCATAAGTTTATTCATTTACATGCTGTACTACAAATTAAGTTCACCGTCCTTTGATTATTCATTCAGGAAAAGCTTTATTGATGGCATATTATATTGTGTAACTCATGAGAATCAATCGGATGAATATGGATACCGAGATATGATGTAATATCCCTTATATATGGAAATATTGGAATGTAGCTTTCTGAAAGCAAATATTCTATCTTGTTGGCTTGTAAAATGTGCTAGCTGATAGTGGATACCATAAACTTGCACCAATTCTTCTAACATTAGGTAAACAATTCCCTATCTTTTTAACAATTTTATTCCAGGTTAATATCAACCATTCATGTAAATTAATCAGCATAGAGGGCGCATAAATAAATAAATAAATGAAAACAAAGAACTAAATGAAAAACCAGTAGCTCTACCAAATAATATTCGTGCTTGCATGCCTACCCCAAATGAAATCGGTCCCTGCATTTAAACCTCCACATGCAATTCGCTTTCGCAAAACCATTGAACGAGTCTTTAATTCTTATTTCATGTCTCTCTCACCTTACAACTGTGCACTTTTCTCTTAGAAAAAAAAATAATAATAAATAAACAAAAATTACCTAACACCGCAACCAGATAATCAATCTCTTGCTTTCTACAATACTGTGCTGTCACTCCCCATGCACCCAACGTAAGCCAAATGACAAAGCAACGCATATTTTTTTTTTTTTTTACCCTTTCTCTCCGTCTCTCTCGTCATTTCTTATAAACGTACACCTTTTAGTTTTAACTTCTAATCCTTTATATCTTCATATATATATAAACCCCCTCTCACCCTCTCTCTCTTTCTCTGTCCCCCAAAAGAAAAAAAAAATATGGTATTGCCGAGAAGTGAAAGGAGTCGTCAACGACAACTCAGTTTGATCTTGCTTATTTGTTTGATTTCACTTGTATTTCCGGTTAGTAGCCAAGAATTGGTGTCTCCGGAACCAGATAGCAGTATAAAGTGTGGAACATGTCCTTGTGTCAACCCATGTGACCAGCTTCCTCCACCTCCACCTCCACCACCACCACCACCACCACCGCCCCCGTCGCCGCCCTCTCCACCGAAAACTACATACTGTCCTCCACTGGCGCCACCACCACCTAGGTTCATCTATGTGACAGGTATGCCTGGGCAAATTTATCAGACGGATGCATATAACTGGGGGTTTTACTCGAGGGCTGAATGTAATGTGGCTAAAATATTGTTGGTTTTGGCTGGATACGGAGTGTTGGGACTCTTACTTTGGTGATTGTAACAGGGGGAAGCATTTTTTTATTAGGTGATGATGTTATTAGTCATTTAGTCTCCTTAAAATCTCGTTTATATATGTTGTTGTTTCTCTTCACTCAAATCATGTTCGTTTTATCTTAATGCCCATTGCCGCTGATGATGATGTTTAGTTCTTTGAAGTTAGAATAATGACAATTTCAACTCATTGTCAACAAAGATGATAACATTAATTATATTCACGACTGGAATAAACTCAAAATTAATTGAGTTCTTGGTAGTGTTCAAATGTCCCGATTAATTAATAACTAAGCTTATGAATTCTGTCTTCATGAAAGAAGCACATGTATATAATTATGCTGCAAAACGTTGAAAGAAACTTTTTAAAACAATCTCAGCAGCATGATATATATGAACATTATTACTACGTATTACTAATCGTTAAAAAATTTAACTACGTATTACTGAGTAATAAACTTTTCTAATTTCCGCAAATGTTTTAAAAATAATTTCTAGATAGTTCTATCATCTATGCCTAAAGTTTTTTTTTTAAATAATCGGGAGTATTCAAGTTAGTTTACGCGTACTTCAACTAATTCCTTATAATCCTAAAACTATTGACCAGATAAGAGTTCCAATGATGATCCCTATTAACAACTGATGAAAGACTCAAACTTAGGACGTCTTGAGTAATACAACTAAGAATCTTTATCAAATCATTCAGTCACCCAAATATAGTTTTCTATGCCTAAAGTTACAGAATTGATTCAATATCATGTGGGGGATTAATATTTTATTCGCACCATGCATAATATAGCTACACTTTAGTGTAACAGTTGTCACATAAGAATACAATATATGCTACATCTTTACATAATTAGCAGATTCCGTCATTAATTTTATACCTTATGCTATAAACTTTAAGTATTGTTTACTATAATAAATACTGTTAAACAGAATGGTCACACAAGATGTAGACTTTTAATTTAAGAATTAGTGACATAATAAATAGCTGGACCGGTCATTGTCTATAATCCCATCAACATGAATGCCAAATTTCTAAATTAAATCTCTTCCTATATAAGTAGGACCACGAAGAGCGATCTGGAGACACAACAAACAGCTAGTTCTCTATTTCTCCTTACTGTTTCTTCTGTTTGTGAGCATTTTAATTTTAATGGATTCATATTTTGATAGCGAGAATAAATTGTTCAGAATGGTTGCAGATCGATGAAGCTTGGAGAGCGTTCTTGCCTTTTCTCTCATATTCATTTGATAAGTTCATATATATTTCTCTTCTTAATTTCAGATTCATTTATCTCTTGCTGCTGTTTTCATTATTGAATTATTGGTACATAAATTCTTTTTTCTAACGACTCTTTTCAACAATTTAGACTTTCACAAATTATATTCAATATATCAATTATAGCACACCTAGTTCATTTTTTTTCTTAGTTCATATTCTTTTTTAGCTGATAATATTTAAAATGTAAATTATATCTTGGTCTATAGACTGGTCAAGTGGATCAATAGATAATTTGCAGTATTTACGCTTCTGAATGGTATTTTTAATAAGATATGAATAAAGTAACGAGAAAAAATAGGATCAATTGACCATGTCTATAAGTGGTCCTACGTAAAACTAAGAAGTGATTATAACTTGCGAATTCTGGACGTATTATAGATGGTTATGTAAAGAATAGATTGATTTCAGAGTAACGACTAAGGGAGTGACTTGGATGCGTGTCTTTGAAAGGTTTAAAAGCCAATAGTATTTACTGCCTTAAAGTGTTGATGAAGATGGAATTTTCCTTTGCTTGTTTTGAATACGAAGAAAGAGCTGGAGAGGCTTCTAAGCAAAGGTCACAAAGTACCTAACACCACTCAAGTATTGTTTACTCACACTGTATTTAAATTAATATTGTACATGGTGCATATATGAATACAAATACATCTTGAAATAATAAAATTTCTATCCAAGCTGCAGATGTTTCCATATTTTTAATTCAGAAACTTGATTATTGCTACAGATGATGAACTGGGTCCAAGGCAAGACTGCCTTCCTTAGTTGCACGTATTTATGAGAATTATGTGAATCATATCAGTGTTAGCTTTGAATTACAAGCTTAAATTTGAGCAATTGATTTTGTCCATATTATAACTATTAATTACCATTTACCACTATTTTTTTTTTCATTACATTAAGTGATTAGAAACACAAACCGTGCAGTCACGGGTTGAGCGGTTTAACCGGTTTGACTGATGGGTCAAACGGTGTCCAAATGTTTGAAATCTAACAAAACACCTCTAAAAATTATTGTAAGTTCGCATAACCGTCGACATCGGCAAATAGTGCATGTTTCCAACGATGAAACACTCTCCATCACCACAAAAACATCCCTCAACTCCTGACCAAAACCTATCTCACCCCTCCCCTGTTTGCCTCCCCCATCGCGATTTCTGTACGATTCACTCATTGGAAATCGATGTTTTGCCATCATTCCACTCACCAGCAATTTCTCTTCAAAAGCCCTAACATTCAAACATTTAATTGTCACAGATTGATGTCTTAATTTTTAGAGTTTTAAATGAATATGAAAATTTTAACCCGACCCGGTGAAGGTGACAGGCGGGTCATGGTTGAATCGGTTTAACCGGCCGGGTCGGGTTCCTAATCACATGTAATATATTAGAAAATACCCTCTTCTCAAAGACAGGGAATATAAGTAAGGTCTATTTTTTTTTTTTTAAATTAATTATCATTTCATACTAATTATTATTTTCGTACATGAACTTAAGCAAAGCAAGAAGTAAATTAAAGTTACATTATTTTATAGCACGGTAGAACATCAAATAGGAATCTTATTGGTACTTTAGGGTAACAACGGTGACAGGATGAGCCATAATACGACGACTTCGCGTGCTTGAAGCAATAAACTAAAGCCCCCCACGGCCATTCAAAGATTGCCGCCACTGCGAATGCCAGGAACCCTAGCGTCGGCCAACCACCTTGCACCGGCAGGGTTGCTAGTGTGCCACACTGAACACAAAGTGGAACTCCAATTCCACCAGCCATAACGTTAATCGTAACGTTCTTGCAACAACTTCAGAAGTAGAACCAACCAAAAAAAAAAAAAAAAAAAAAAAAATGGATTAAAAAGACAGAAATGCTATGATTGGAGCTTGGAGGTGAAGATGACGAAGTTGATAAGTTGATGGTAAAGTTTGGCCGGTGAATTGAGTTTTATAGAGATACTGAAGCAATTAATAATTCTTGGCTGTGAGGTGTAGATGCTACGTGTCAGTATAAGTACATGTAATTTGTACACGTGTCAATGTGCTGTCAGAGCCGTGTACACGTATTTTGGATATGGGGAAAAAATATAAAATTGTAGTTATAAAGTGTTTTTAACACGTGGAAGCAACTGAGAAATTCTGTGCGGCCTATATCAACCGATGAGAACATGTGAATTTCAAATTTTGTTCTGGATTGTTTTTCTGTCGGCGATTTGATAAATTGGTGTTTTAGAGCATATCAATGTAGATATTTATTTTATATAGCACCATCTTTATTAATTTTTAAATATAAAAAATAAAATATGTATTCAAATCTAATAAACTTTTTAAATTTAGAAGAAAAAATACTTTTTTGAAAAGAAAATTTAATAGGAGGGGAAATCATAAATAAAATACATAGAAATTTATAATTTATTATTAAAATTATGATAGAGAGTGAAATTTGACTTTTTAAATGTGGTATGTCAAATATTTTTTAATCTGTATTTAAAAAATAAAGAGTCTATTAGATTTTGATTTTATAAATAAACTCTTTATAATAAAGAATTTAGTTTATATAAATTTTTTTTAAAGATGCTTTAACTTTACTTTATGTGATGAGAATAATACTACACAAACATCATTTTTAACAATATTTCTCATACAATATATTTGACAGATATGATTGGGTGAAAGTTTAATTTAACTTTAAATTAGCCAATCATATCTTATCATAATATTGTATGTGAAATGTTGTATAAAAATGATGTATGTGTAGTATTACTCTGTGATAAACTGAAACGAGTGAAATTGGAAAGCGTTGGCCTGCCAAGCTTAACTATTTAGCCAATACATTCCTCAATTTGAACCCAACCCAACCGAACCCAGGTTGGTTGCATACTTTCTAGCTGGGTGTAAATAATTTCAATGCACAATATGGATGTTCATAAAAATCAAAATATAAAGAAGAACCAAAAAAAAGTAATGATCTTAACATAAATTCTGACTATTGTAACATAAATTCCAATATAAATAATGAGCTTGAACGGAAGATTAATGAAGGGAGTGAGGTGGGAGAGTGGGACAGTGTGGAATGGTGATGCTTCTCTATCGTTCATCAATGTGCTTTTCCATTACTATTATTAATTTCCTAACTTTTTGTCCTTCTTCTTTCATTCTTCCTTCAATCATAAACCCTAAACCGTAAAGGTTGATAACCTTTGATGATTTCCCAAATGGTGGAATTTGATCGTTTATTTGTGGATGATATATAGCAATTTTGCATTCAAAGAAGCAAAGACCCCATGTAATTGAAATTGGCCTGCGGTTGGGTATTCCTTCAGCTGAAAGAATGGACCATATTCTTCCAAGAAAAGAAGAAATTAAAAAAGGTTGTTGATCTTTTTGTGTGATCATCTTTTTGCCAGGGTATACGATTCCCTTCAATTTTACCAAGTCTTCGTTGTTCAAGATCATCTGCTGCCCAAATATTCTTCCATAATTACTCCACACGTTTAACCATTACAAAACTTCAGTTACAATATTAGCTTGACAAATACAAGAGATTAATTCTACATTTTACATGAATGATGATGCCAAGTTTGTTTAAAAGGAAAAAGAAGCTTGCTTCTCAATTGTATCGTAAAGCACTTTTCAATATTTATCAGCTAAAATGGAAACAGAAGAGAATAAAATTATACTCAGATATAAAGAGCAAATGAAATGCAAGAGTTCTGATAATAAATT